GGGCGGTGCTGCTGATGTCCCCAAGGAAGGCCTGGCACCACGCAGGGCTGGTGCAGCCCTCCCTCGTCCCCGCGTGTCCCCCGTTCGCTTGGATCCCGGGATATCCTAGTGCCAAGGGTGTGGACCGGCTGTGTGACTTCAATCCATGCAACGACGGATTCTGCCCATTAGCCTCCTGTGTCCCCTCTCGTTTGGCAGCTGGTGAGGAGAGCCAGCCCACGCTCCAGGCCCTCTCGTGTGCTCCCTGGAGCCAGCCCACGCTCCGGGCCCTCCCGCTTGCTTCCCGGTGCCGGCTCCGGGCGGGCTCCACCCGGAGCGCTCGTTTTTCCTGCCATCCACAGGCAGACACGGCACCCAGCTCTGCAGGGCTGCGTGGGCGCGCTGGAGCCTGCGCTGAAGCGGCGACGGGAGGAGGAATCGGGCTGGCGCCGGGGAAGCCTCCTGTGCAGGGCCAGCCTGCAGGGGCAGGCACGGGTCCCTTCTGTCCCCCGCCTGCCCCTTGTCATCCCTGGGCTGCAGGTGCTGCCACCAGGGCACAGGGATGCTGGTAGTATGGATGGGGAGCAGGGATGCTGGTGGGTCTGGATGGGGAACAGGGATGCTGATAGGAATGGATTGGGAACAGGGATGCTGGTAGTGCAAATGGGGAACAGGGATGCTGGTAGGAGTGGATGGGGAACAGGGATGCTGGTAGGAATGGATTGGGAACAGGGATGCTGATAGGTATGGATGGGGAAGAGGGATGCTGATAGTGAGGATGGGGAACAGGGATGCTGGTGGGTATGGATGGGGAACAGGGATGCTGGTACGTATGGATGGGCAACTGCAGTCATGGATGGCAGAGCAGGATGCCTCCAGCCCAGGCTTTCAAGAGCGACCGAGAAACACCATTTGCACTTCCCCATCCCGGCATCCCAAAGAAACCCTGGCAGGACAATCCAGCCCCTGTTTTCTGCCAGAGAGTGGTAGGGCCGTTGCAGGGAGCACCCAGCAGCAGCACAAGGAAGGGAGCTGCTCTCAGCAGCAGGTCCTGGAGGTGCCAAAAGCCGGGCTGGGGCCTGGGGAGGGACCAGGCTCGGCCTCCTCCCCGGCTGCTTCTCCTCCTTTCCAGCCAGATCCCGGCTGCAGCTGCCCGAGCTGATCGCTCCTCCCCGCCACCACCGCCTCCCCAGGCAATTTATTCCAGCCCTTCACTTGCTCGTGATGGCTAATAGCTAACCTCTGCCTCTGCTGCTTCAGTTTAAGCCCATTAATTCTGTTCACGGAGGACAAATGACTCCCTTCCCCTTTGCAGCAGCTGTTTATGTGTTTGAAGATGGCTCTGCCCGCTCTCCTCGGCCCTCAGCAGCCCCTGCTCTCCCGCCGCTCGCGGGTCCTGCTCGGAGACGCTACTGGTGCCAGCGTGTCCCGGTCTCTCCCAAAAGCCGGAATCTCGGCAGCTCTTGTGCCGGGTCCCACGAGCTCTTTGCAGCTGATGCCACTGACTGACGCTGGGCTCCGATCCCCTCTAGTCCATAAGTCCCCTCCTGGCCGTGCTGGTCCTTCGCTTTCCCGGCCGCGCTCCTTCCTGGATCGCATCCCTGCTTTCCCCAGAGCCTCCTGCGCTCCCGGAGGCTCCCCACGCTGCTCCCCACGAGCCGTAATGCACCGTGGCAGGGCCTTTGCCACGGGGCCACGCACGGGTTTCCAATGGAACAAGGTGGTGGCATCAACAGTGCGAGGTCCCTCTGCCATAACCCAACCACACAGCAGCCTCATCGCAGGCTTGCCCAGTCCTGCAGCTTTTCCACGAGGTGCATGTTCAAAAACCCCAGCAATCTCCTGTATTTTTATTGCCGGCCCTGGGCTGAGTTGCAAAATCTAATTGAACTGCCTCGCTCACATCCCCCGTTGCAAAACCCACCGCGACACTCTGCAACCAAAGCAAGGCTTGAAGGCTGCAAAGCCCTCCCCAGCTTCCAACATCCTCCATTCCCCTCCCCAGCTTCCAACATCCATTATGTGGCAGGGAGCAGGGGGGAATGCCCAGCTCAAACACGGGATAATTCCAGGGCTCCCTTTCCCCCCGTGGCACCACCTCGGCTCTGCGCCGGGATCCTCGGCCACGTTTCAAGCCGCGACTTTGCCTACTCACCGTACTGGATTTGAGCGTGTCCCCATTGTCCTCTTCGGATTCTAGTGCAACAGGTAAGGATTTCTGTGGCGGGGAGAAGGTTAAGTCCCACCTCAGTAGCCGAGGTTCAGCTTTGTCCCCGAATCTCAGATTTTCCAGTTTCTGCACCGTGGGCTCGGTAGAGGAAGCTGGCCTGAAATTCTCTTTGTTCTGGGTCTTAGACCTCAGTCTCTGAACCCCAAAGCCCCGGTCTTCTCCACGGTGGTCATCAGCCATGCTCCTGCAGGGCCCCCCTTTGCTATAGTGTCTTTTTTGGGTGTGAATCTCTTGCATATAAGAATCCATCCTCATGAGGGGCTTCATCTCCATCTCGTAGTTACTCATCTTCTCCTCATCCAGCTCAAGCAGCTTGGAGCTCCCTGAGCTGTGGTTGTGGGACCTGTGGTGGGAAGTCCAAGACACCGTGGCCGGGGAATCTGTCCACCTCTCTCTCTGCTTGTGGTTGGAGGCCGCGTGCTTGTGCCCCCCGCTCCGGCCTCGGTAGTCTTCGGGGACGGAGGCCGATGCCATCGGGGCGCCGCGCAGCGCCCCGCTCCGCACGCCGCGCGTCCCGCCGGCCTTCTCCTCGGCCCAGCTGTTGGCCCGCAGGTAGTCCCCGCCGCGGCCCTCCAGAAACATCT